AAGGAAGACAGGATAAAAGACATGCTGTGGAAGAGAGACAGAGGTTAATAACAGATATGATTTAATGCAGAGAGGTCTGTTAACACATAGTGAGTGAGAAAGGTGACTGGAAAGGAAAAACTCAATGCATCATGGGAATCCCCCGGCAGCCTACGTCTATGAGATATTTACACATGATCACGATAACATGCTGAAGTTCACACTGAATATCAGAATAGGTTGAAAAAGGTGATTTAATAGATATGTATTTATATACTGTGAACACTATACAGATGCAATTTGAAAAATTTGAATATCATGCAAAACTTCATTTATTTCAGTAGCTCAACTTAAAAGGTGAAAAAAAATATGATATCGATTGGCAAAGAGAGATATTTCAAGCCTTTATTTGTTATGATTTTGATGACTATGGCTTACAGCTTATGAAAACTCCAAATTCAAAAGCTCAGAAAATGTAAATATTGTGAAAAGGTTCAATATTGTAGGCTCAAAGTGTCACACTCTAATTAGTTAATTAATCCAAAACACCTGCAAAGGGTTCCTGAGCCTTTAAATCAGGGGTGCCCAATCCTAGTCCTCGAGAGCTACTGTCCTGCAGTTTTTATGCATCCCTAATGGTTTGATTACCTCTTCAGCATGCCATCCATCAAGTTTGGCAAAGGCCTGATAACAAGCCATTCATTTGATTCAGGTGTGTCAAAACAAGGATGCATCTAAAACCTGCAGGACGGTAGCTCTCGAGGACTGGGATTGGACACCCCTGCTTTAAATGGTCTCTCAGTCTGGTTCAGTGGGAAGACTGCTGACCAGAAAAACCATCATTGACACCCTCCATAAGAAGGGAAAGCCCCAAAAGGTAATTGCAAAAGAAGCTGGATGTTTCCAAAGTGCTGTATCAAAGCACATTAATAGAAAGTTATGTGGAAGGGAAAAGTGTGGAAGAACTCAACAACAAATATCAAAAGCATCTTACCTGGGATAAAGAAAAAAAGAGCTGGTCTGTTGCTCAGTGGTCCAAAGGCCTCTTTTCTGATGAGAGCAAATTTTGCATCTCATTTGGAAACCAAGGTCCCAGAGTCTGGAGGAAGAATGGAGAGGCACACAATCCAGTCTGTATTTTCCAGTCTGTGTTGATTTGGGGAGCCCTGTCATCTGGCTGTTGCTGATCCACTGTGATTTATTAAGTCCAGAGTCAACGCAGCCGTCTACCAGGACATTTTGGAGTACTTCATGCTTCCTTCCGCAGACGAGCTTTATGGAGATGCTGACTTAATTTTCCACCAGGACTTGGCACCTGCCCACACTGCCAAAAGTACCAAAACCTGGTTCAATGACCATTGGATTACTATGCTTGATTGGCCAGCAAACTCATCTGACCTGAACCCTATAGGGGCACTGCCAAGAGAAAGATGAGAGACATGAGACTGAACAATGCAGAAGAGCTGACGGCCGCTATTGAAGCATCCTGGTCTTCCATAACACCTCAGCAGTACCACAGGCTGATAGCATCCATGCCATGCTGCATTGATGCAGTAATTCATGCAAAAGGGGCCCAAACAAAGTACTGAGTACATATGCATGACCTCTTCAGAGGTCTGTGAGGATCTATGCTCACTGTACTCACAGTCCACAGATCCAAATCCAACAGAGCACGGTTGGGATGTGACAGAGCAGGAGATCCATATCGTTGATGTGCAGCTGACACATCTGCAGCAGCCGAGTGATGACATCATGGAACTAATAAAGTGCATTTTACGCTTATGGCTCAAAGACGAGCATAATTTGTATTTTTGAAAGGATTTCACACAAATTCACAGTCACGCTTTTATTGATAAAATAAACACGCGATCACAGGCTAAATACAGTTACGTTCAACAAGCCATAAAACAATTCAGACCCAAAGTGCAGCAGCAGCATCCATTTCAGAACAAACCCATTACTCAGTATTGTTTAGTACAATGAAACAAAAGATATGGAAACTATCCTATAAGAGTAAATAGAAAAACCACAGAAACTATGGGCCAGCTGACCACGAAACTCATACATACAAAAAAAAAAAGATTTTTTTTCCACACCGATCTCAAGTAGCTGGGCACCACTGAACTGTGTAGTCATGCATGAACTGTAGAAAAATCTATTAATCCAAACTTTAATTCACATTTATCTATTTTTCCAAAATCTATAAATCTCGTGCTAAACACGTAGCTTCAAAATATTTAAACTGAAAACCATAAAAAGCATTCTGCCCCTCATGAATAGCAGGCTCTAGGACCCTTTCAGGATAAATAAGGCACAGCGTGATATCTGTAACTCATTAACTCTGTTAAATGTTGCCTTGCAACAAGCAGGACTTTGGCCAGTGAAGCCACAGCATCGGTCTGTGGTTTCTGCAGATATTGAGTAATGCAGGCTTCAAGGCACAACTTTTATATAGAGAAAAGCACAAACACGGCACATTTATACTAGAGAAAATTTGAAAAGGGTATAAATCCTACAGTATTGAGTACACTTCTGAATATGATTGTAAGCAGTTCCCTGCTTACAGTAGGTAACCGTCAGATGAAGTGTAGTGTAGATAAACACCGATGAGACAACATTAAAACCACTGACAGCTGATGTGAATGACATCATTGCTACAATGCAACAGTCTGCTGGGAATCATTCAGCCCGTTCATCTTACTTTGACGTGTACCTCCCCCCTAAAGGTTGTTCTATACACAATACTACATTACTTTGGCAATGACTCAGTGGAAAGTGCTTAAAAACCACTCGAGTAACGTTAAAGAGCCCATGGAGTTGACACAGGACACAAAGAACGCAGTTCCAACATCCCAGGACACACCCAGACATCGCCTGTACATTTCCCAACGAGCAAGAGCTGTTTACGTGGCACAACAGAGACCTACACTGTACATAAGGCATGTGGTTTTAATGTTGCGGCTGATCGGTGATTATTAGTTCACAGGTTTACGTGTTTCACTGAGTCTGCAGTGCCGGGGGGATGTTCAGGGCTGAGCCAGGCGGCAATGCCCAGTTTTCCGGGCCCTGGTGGGTCTGTAGCAGGCAGTAAAGCTGCTTTAGGTGGGTCACAATGTTATCCTTGATGTCTGGGATGGAAATCTGGAGGCGGATGCTGCCGCTGTCAAGCGATCGCGTGTTGTCGCTAGAAAACATCTCGCTTATCATTCGGGCCACCACTGGAATGACCTGCAGGGTGAAAGAGGGCCGTTAAGTGTTGGGAAAAGACACTTTGCAAGCTTATTTGTTTAAAAATTCCAAGATAGAACACTTATCATCTTTGGTTTCTTAAGATTCTTTAAACTTTTGGCTGTCATTTTTTATTACTTAGTGACATTTTATAGGCAAAAAGACTCAAAAATTATTTCTGCGTGCTGCGATGACACGACTCCATCGTCCTTTGATGACCATTAAATTATGTTACACATTTCTTTACCTGGACCATGATAAGTTTCCTCTCCTTGGGTCTTCCATCTGGCCACTCCTCCCCGAAACACAGATTGATCTCATAGTCAGGAGTGATTGGTGCCTGGCCACGCTGTTGAGCTATCACACCTGCACAGCAAACAAAAAAAATATATATTTATAAAAAAATGCTTTTCCACAGGTGCTCAAACTCATTTTGCAGGCCACATGCAGCCCACCTTGATCTTAAGGCATGGGCCAAACCGCTGAAACTCCCATTTTTGTCAGTGTAAAGATGCTTAACTACACATTGTATCTCATTTATTAAAAAGAAGTGACATTAATACATACCAGCGAGAAAAGACTCAAGACAGAACAGTTTGACCTTCCTCTGCCGCTCTATGAGATTCGGAGCAGCTGGATTTGGAGCGCAGGGGCCAGACCAGTACACCTTGCACTGACAGAGACGGACTGCGTAGATATCGTGGCCGCTGACCTCCAGGATCAGACCTCTGTCCATCACGTCCAGAAGGCGGTTAGTGAAGACCCTCTGCTTGTCATTGGTGATGTGCTCCGTGGTCGGAAAGCGTAGCTGTTCCAGGTTCACTGGGCCGAACAGCTCTTCCTGATTGACCATGGGCCCGAGGTCTCCGTAGAACAGCCTGCAGCCTAGCGGGTTGCTGACTGTCGCTGTAGGACACATCTCCTTCCCTCTGTAAAGAAACTGCACCTCCAGGTCTGTCACTGGGTCAGAGATGAAGGTGGAAGCGTGTTAAAAAGGAAAATGCAATAAAACTATATTTTAGGTAAAAACAGAAAAAGAACTAAGCTTAATTTTTGAAAAAGGAGAGGTCACAGGGAAGCAGAAACTTCAATTTTACGACCATGGTGCACATACTGGACACATATTCGCAATTAATTAATAAAAAGTTCTGTTTATTTAAAAACAACAACAGGAATAGTGACATCTTCAAGCTTAAAGCAGAGGAGTTGAAACTATCTTTTTATAAAACCAGCAAGTATTGCTGTCTAGAGAAGAGGTTTTCTGATGTTATATTTTCCTAATTTAAACCAATCAAATGTCATGAAGTTCAACTGCACTTGGGGAGCTACAGCAGGTATCCCCTACACCTCAGCCTGCCACAACAAAAAGCTCAAATTGTTATTTTAAGTTGAAGTCTGCCAAGCAAGCAGGTGCAAGACTCGTGTCTTAGCAACAGTTCACACTCACTTGGAAGGGAACTGATCCACATTTCGGGAGAGGCAAACAAGCCGTCGGGCAGGGGAGGGGGCTGCAAAGACGGATCGGGCAGAGTAACTGGGGGCATGTCGTGTGTCGTTTGCTGCATCTCCACATCCACGGGCTCCTCTTTAGGCCAGGGTTTAACAGGCTCCTCTTTGGGCCAGACCTCGTTTGATGGGGGACAGCTGGGAGGCTGCATGGATGACTCAGAACCCATCGGAGACCACATAATGAGAGGAGAGGGGGTGCCTACACGAAGAAAATAATTCATTTACTGTTAATAAGCAATCAAACTGGACATTGCAGAAACAGGTGTAATGTTTTTAGACAAAGCAGTTCACCATTAGATGGGTATGGAGGCAGAGACTCTGGAGTATCTGGAATATCTTCCTCAAGACCATCATCATCCCCGGGTGTCCAGGGGCCAGCATCTGAAGAGCCTGCGGAGTGAGGGAGGTGGCAAATACTGCAAAATTAAAGATGAACGAAGAAAGACGAGAGCGAGCCGCATTAAAGAGCTCTCATTTACCGTGGTTGCTGAGGGGCTGAGGGATGTCACAGACATCATATATCTTCCAAGGATTCATGGGGATCTCTTTGGTGCCGTCATAGACGAGGTTGAATTCTCTGCTTTTGTTCAGGGCACATCGAAGCTGAGCTTTCCACTTTGCAGGATCAGGTTCGTCAACTCCCTCCTGGAACTTTCCGGTCTCCACAGCCCATGCCTGGGGGAATATTTAGACCAAATGAAGGGATCAGTATTACACAGTTATTTTAATTTCTATTTATGCACAGCATGCACTCACTTTAAAAAAAAATAAAAATAAAACCAGTGTTCTTTATTTACTGAGTGATGCTGGGTCAGCATGTTTGTCAGGAAACAGCTGTATAATGTATTCACAGCTATGTCAGAATGAAAAGACTCAAGCCCAGAGGCTCAATTTTTCACGAGGTACACACACCTCGTCACAACAAAGTTTATGCTGATTAAATTCTGTTTTCTTTTCTTTAAAAAAAGTTTACTTTTTTTAAAGAAAAGAAAACAACCTCATGAGCCACAACCTTTCCCTTTATGCCTCTCCTGTTTAATTTGGTAGGTTTCCAGAAGAACAATAAAATAAAACACCTACATAAAGTTTCATTCAACATGACCCAGAAAAACAAAATATAACTGGGCTGCAAAGCCAGACGTTTTATTAAAAGTCCTACGTAATAATAATAATAATAATAATAATACTAATAATAATAATAATAACAATAATAATAATAATAACATTATTATTATTATTATTATTATTATTAGAGGGTATTTTTTAAAAGGATATTAACCAGTAATGAATTAGCATAACCCCTGCTTAAACCTCCTCACTGTCTCTGCAGAAGTACAAGTTCTGATCAGGTATAAGGAATAAAGTCACACACACAGGCAGACACCCCTCTGTTAGTGAATCTTTACCTTAAAGATGGTGTCCTCATCCTCGTGCTGGGGTGTGTGCCGTGTGGCGTGTTTCCATGGGATCCTGAAGCGCATGTTCTCACGGTCAAGCCACGTCAATCCCGGGTATCGCCCGCTTTCCACCTGCGCGACCAGCCAGGGCTTCAGGCGGACACGCCGAGGGGTGACTGCCATCCTCACTGCCGAGAAAATCCAAGTGAAATCAGTCCACCCTCAGAAGTCTTAATAACCCCCCCACACCCCCCCATGATCTTTAGTGCACCCCACGGCAAACAACGCTGCAGCACTTATCAGGGGGAAACAAACATTTTAGAGCTGCTGGACTTCAGCTCTGGCAGACGGAGCGACCTTTCAGTTGTTTGCCAGATTACTTACAGACTAGGCCTTATATGACGATTTTGCACGGTGTGTTTAAATAATATGTGAAGTCCAGTATCTGTGTGTCAGTCCAATCCAGTCCAAAAATCAAACACCCGACGCAAGCAAACACGAAAACAAAAGACGACACACATACCTGTGGGCAAAGCAGGAAGTTGGCGATCTCGTCGGCCTGTTAACCAGCAGCTGGAAATAACAGCGCTTCGGTGGGTCCAAACTCCCCACCAATCTCCCCTCGAAGCGAACTCACCGATTACCGGTTCGACGAAAGGCGACTAATAACAACGACAGGCGGAGAGCTGGAGCTCAGAATGGCTGATGTTCGTCACTCCTTTGGTCCTTCCCTTTCCACACCGAAACTCAGGTAGGAGTGTGACGTCACACCGGCGGCACACCTTTTCTGAGCAGCTGGGTGATCGTTTTTCACCAAGCATGTGGACAGGGCACTTTATTTTTCCACGAATATCTCAGCTTATCTCGACGAGAACGACATTTTTTATTTTTGTCCTTTAGGAATTTATTTGATCAGATTCGTAATTTGGATACTCTACATTCCTTTTGATATTTATTTATAATATATCAATAAATAAATAGAACGAGATACACCGTGCTTTTTGGGACAATTAATATAAAGCTGGCCTTTTTGAGAACACTTAAACTAATTGTGTCCTGTCAGCTTTACATGCTTATTTTTTTATACTCACACACTTGCTTTGTTTAGCTAAGAAACGCGCGACCGGTGTGACATGACTCAGCTGGCAGGAAAAGGAGGCGTTTCGACGAAAAAAACAAAACAAAACAATGCACACAATGAGTTTGCTCCAGACAAGTGGACGGTTGATGATGATCCTATCACCATTAGGAGCCAAAAACAGGCCGACAATAACAAACCACTCCCTGAAACTGCTCATGGACTGCAGAAAGCGTGTCACTTGGCCCGCTTTTGTGATTTTTCCCGGTGTTGGCACAGCATACATCATGTGCTTGTTGCTTCCTGTGTGATGCTAATTGTGGGGTTTTTTTGGTTTTCTTTTGCTTGGGGCGATAGGGTCAGTTTACTGCCAACTGCCTGCAGTATCATCACGATCTGTCTGATCCAGTTCGGTTAACAGATGTTTCCAGTTTCTCCCAACATAAATGTGACCTCAGGGGCTGCAAAGGGTTTAATAGATGATTTCATAGATAAAATAGTGGGAGGCACTCCAAGAACTGAGATACAAGCAAAAGTCATGCGCAATCACTCATTTCTTTATATGTAGAAGTGGAAATTGGGAATAGATGCAGCAATGTGTTCTAAATTGTACCTTTAGCTACTTAGTTACTAGCAGCCTGCTGCAAAAACACATAATTTGTTCCAATTTCTTTAGTTGAATCTATAAAAAATGCCAACAATAAAAAAAACCCAACAACTATCTACATCAGATGAACAGTACCTTAAAGTCATGTCCACAAGAAATAAGTAAAAAAAAAGACATGACACAGGACCTGAGGGATGAATTTGACTCTTCAGTTGATCCGTCTCCTGTTCACTGAAATCCAAATTACACAAGAACTGGAATTCAGTGAAAGTCAGTGGCAACAGCTGTTATGATGTGAGGAATCCAAATTTGAAATTCTTGGTTCAAATCATGTTGAGTGTGGGTATGGTGTGAGGAGAGAGGTACAACAGTCTGAAGACTAGTTAAAAATTACAAAACAGCTTGCGTAAAAGAGGGTGTTCATATGAAAATCATCATGCCAAATACTGACTTCCAAGCTTAAGAGAACTGTCCAAATTCATTTTTGCCTTAGATACTGTTTTTACAATGTATGTTTGCACGTTTCAATGAAATGCTGCATTTTTCTGCATGTTGGATAATAGATTTAACAAAAACACTGGCCGGAGTATGTGTGAGTAAAATGCAATGGAAATATATTAAATAAAATGTTTATTCATTCACATAAATAATCATTAAGGACATCCTGCTTGGTATAAACTGAATGTACCAATCAAGTATTTCATTCTACCGGATTCCATTAAAATGAAAATTTAAAAACTGTTCAAAATTACATGGAAAAGTTGCATGTAATTACTGCAAATTAGATAAAGTCAGCATTTTGGATTCACATGATGAATTAGAATCAGAATCAGAATCAGAAAGGGTTTTATTGCCAAATGTTGAGCAGGTTTACAACATTAGGAAATTGCTGCGGTGCTTCA